TTGGAGGCTAACGAAGTGCTCAGAGTCTGTCTACTGTGGCCTGAACTTAAAGACTCTGGGTCAGATCCTCATAAGAAACATTGTGATTTCAACCACCCAAAGGCTTGTCCCTATGTTTAAATGCTGTTTGTTCTTTAATTATCACTCTGCAAGGACTGCTTATAACAACTAGATTCTTAGGTTCTTAACAGATTTCTAAACTGTATTTTGTTCTCAATTTTTTGGCGTTACTCAAATGTTCATTTATTTATAGTGGGGGAAGAAATATTTCAAATTTAGCTCAACAAGTAGAAACACTTGCAGGTTGCAAAACTTTAGACCACAGCTGAGTTTGCTATTATATGTCAGTGCTAAAGATTGATAATTTTTTTAAAGATTTCTATGTGCTGTGTTATTAATTAACAGTGTAGGTGAGATGTTGACATAAACATGGATTCATTTTTAATGTTTAAAACATGAAGGTTTAATTTGTGTTCAGGTTTGATAACAGCCTTTTTTTACTTTAAGAATGTTTCAAAGTTTGTGTAAAAGAAACAAACTCATAGCACAATTTTTTTAACTTTCATAATGCCTTTCTCTTGACAAGTGCCAGTTTGTTTTTGTAATTTGATATTTTCTGTATTTATGCATATTTAATTTTCAGTTCACTTTTTATTTTGTGTGGAATGTAATGTCATTGTAAAGTGTATTTATTTTTTTACTTTATTTTCATCAGCCTGTTCTTTCTTTAAACATACTGCAAAATAAACTTTTTAATCTGTAAAAATGAACATTTCTTTTAAGTAAATGCTTAATATAAAATCAGGTGAAAGCAATCTTAAATAACATAGGACATAGCACCACAACTATACTGAAATTCTAAGAGTTTGATGTAGTTGCAACACTTCACGCACAACGTGATATGATTTATGTTTGCACAGTCAGAACCAACTTAACTAACATCCATTCCATGGGGAGTTATGGTTGGGTTGGAAATGTTCAAAGTAAAGTATCTGTTGCTTATTGGAATCATATCAGGCAGAGCACTTTTGTAATAATCAGTGATTCTAGTAAGTGGTACCATAGTAAAATGGGCAAAGTAAAAAGTCTGTACAGAGCCCTGTGAAGAAACTAAAATGTTGGTACTTCATTGTAATTTTACTTATTTCAATAAACTTACAACCTGGCTGTGTGGTAAATACACATGCAAAATGAACAATAACCGTGAGCCAAAAAACAATCCCAATAATAGGCAGAAAAAAATCTTCTATACATAGATTATAGTTTAAGATACTGATTTTAATAAGCACGTGTTTCTACTCAGTGGCTGTGTCTACACTAAACACTGCCTGCATAGTTGTTACTGCACATTTATTTAGTACTTGCATCTCAGAGCTATTCCACAGTAGCATTTCCGCACAGCTTCCTGGTGATGCTAACTGTGCAGTAGCTTGTTACTACTGTACAGCTGCTTGTTAATATTGTGCAGTTGCATTGCATTACAATTTGTGCCACATGACACTGCTGTGCAGTAGTAACAAGCTACTGTGCGGTAAGATTCTCATGTGGACACAACTAGTGAGATGCTAAAAAGTGGTAGAAAATGTATGTAACACAATGCTCTTGGCATTTGTTATGGGGATTTTGATTCTAATATGCAGATGATTCCTTTGATAGAAGTGGACACTGTAATTGATTCCTTACAAAATATCCTCACTACTGTGTTGCTTTCCATCAGTACATATTTTATATTTCTATTAAACCTAGAAACAAGACTTCCCTGGCTATGTGGGATTCATGGCCTATTGAAAAATTTAATAGATTCACAGATGTTTGGGTCAGAAGGGACCTCAGTAGATCATTGAGTCTGACCACCTGCCTGGGCAGGAAAGAGGGCTGGGGTCAGATGACCCTAGCCACGTGCCTATTCAGCCTCCTCTTAAATGTCCCCAAGGTAGGGGAGAGCACCACCTCCCTTGGAAGCCCATTCTAGGTTCTGGCAACCCTTACCATAAAGAAGTTCTTTCTGATCGCTAACCTAAACCTGTTCATCAATGTGTGGCCATTGTTCCTAGTTTCTCTAAGGGGCATCCTGGTAAACAGAGCATCTCCTATTCCTCGCTGCCTTCCCCTCCACCCACGATGAATCTAGGTGGCCACAAGATCACCTCTCAGCCTTCTCTTGTGGAGGCTGAAGAGATTCAGGGCTCAATCTCTCCTTGTAGGACTTTGCCTGCAGGCCCCTAACCATATGAGTGGCTCTCCTCTGGCCCCTCTCAAGCTTGTCCACATCTCTCTTGAAGTGCAGTGCCCAAAACTGGATGCAATACTCCAACTACAACCTGACTAGTGCTGCATAGAGGAGAAGTATCACCTCCCTGGACCTGTTCATCATGCACCTGCTAATGCATGATAAAGTGTGGTTAACTTTACTGATCACTTTGTCACATTGACAAGTCATGTTTATCTTGGTGTCAGCAATGATTCCGAGATAACTTCCACTGCTGTGTTGCTGAGAAGGTCCTCCCCCAGCCTGTAAGTGTGCTGGTGATTCCTTCTCCATAAGTGCAGCACATTGCACATGTCTTTGTTGAACTGCATCCTATCTGTTCTGCCCACTTTTCCAACCTGTCCAGATCTGCCTGGATTTGTTCCCTACCCTCTAGTGTGTTAACTTTTCCCCATAATTTGGTATCATCTATGAATTTGGACAGAGTACTTTCCACGCTCTCATCCAAGTCACTGATGAAGACACTGAACAGCACAGGTCCAAGGACTGAGCCCTGTGGGACTTCACTGCCCACATCTTTCCAGGTTGATACTGACCCATCCACCACCACTCTCTAAGCCAATTTGCCACCCACCTGACCATGTAATCATCTACATCACAGCCCCTTAGTTTATTTATGAGAATGGGGTGAGATACCATGTCAAAGGTCTTTTTAAAATCTAAGTAAATGACATCTACCTCGACTCCTGTGTCAAAGCATTTTCTGACCTAGTCATAAAAAGAAACAAGGTTAGTCAGGCAGGATCTACCTGGTATCAATCCATGGTGGTTGCCCTTCAGCGTTATTTTTCCTGCTAGACTCCCACAAATGTAATCCTTAATAATTTTTCAAAGGCTTTCCCAAGGATAGAGGTGACACTAACCGGTCTATAGTTACCCGGATCCTCCTTTCTCCCCTTCTTGAAAATAGGGCCCACATTGACCCTTTTCCAATCCTTTGGGACCTGACCTGAGCACCAAGAGTGCTCAAACATCTGTGCCAGTGGCTCCATGACACTGGCCAATTCCTTCAGCACCCTTGGATGAACATCATCTGGGCCTGCTGACTTCCAGCATCCAGTCCTTCCAAGTGTCTTTTTACCAAGTTGGCACTAACAGTTGGTGGGCTGGTGCCCCTTTGGTGCCTGTCTATGATCCAATTGGGAGATTTGTCCTGATCTGTGTTCAGAAATAAAGAAGCAAAAAACTTATTGAAGAGCTCAGCCTTGTACCCCCTATCTGTCACTAATTGCCCTAGTTTGTCCTGTAGAGGTCCTATGCTACTCTGCACCTTCTTTTTACTGCCTATATACCTGAAGAAGGACTTTTTGTTGTCTTTAATTTTTGTTGCCAGCCTTAGATCCATTTCTGCTTTGGTCTTTCTGACTGCCTCCCTGCAAATGTGAGCCAGACAGGTATACTCAGCTTTGGTAACTACCACCTGCTTCCATAGCCTAGATGCCTCTTTTTGGCCCCTAGGCTTTCCTGGATTTTCCTGGTTAATTAGGTTCCTGTGGCATAAAGTATCATCACAACCCTTTATAAATCCATCGTGTGCCTAGACTGTGCCTTGAATACTGTGCTTAGTTCTGGTCTTCACATCTCAAAAAGGATATAGAAGAACTAGACAAGGTCCGAAGAAGAACAAGAATGATTAACAGTGTATGAGGAGACGCTAAAGAAGCTAAGTCTCTCCAGTTTAGAAAAGAGTTGTGGAGGGGGATATGATAAGGGTTTACAAAATACTAAATGGGAAGAGAGAGTAAATACAGATTTATTAATTTTCTCACAATACAAGAGCAAGGGGATCACAAAATGAAACTAGTAGGTAGTAAGTTTTAAACTAACAAAAGGAAATTCTTTTCTACGCAGCGAGTAATCGAAGCGTGGAGCTCGTCGCCACCAGACGTAGCGGAAGCTGGTGGTTTGGCCAGATTCAAAAAGTGACTGAACAAATTCTTGGAGGAAGGGGGCAGCAGCAGCTATTGAGCGTGGAAGTGAGGGAAACAGCCTCAGAATCAGAACTTCCGAGACATTAAATCAGCGGTTTTCAAACTTTTTGAGCTGAGCCCCCCTTTGAGTAACCATTTTGTTCACGCCCTCCCTCACCCCAGAGGAGCAGCACAGCCGGGCACGGGTGGCTCTGCCTGGCGGGGAGGGCTCCCTCCGCTGGGGCTGCAGTGCCTCCTGCCCTGGCCCCGCTGTGGCTCTAGGCCGTGCACCTGCCCTGCTGGCAGAGCCTGCCTGGGCTCCCTGCCCCTGCTTCCCTCCTCAAGGCGACAGCGGTGCCGACTCCTTGCCCACAACCCCCCCCATGTTCTTTCATGCTCCCCGGTTTGAAAACCATGGCCTGAAATGGTGGAGGCCGCAAGTGAGAGAGGACTAGCGGGGGAAAAACAAAGGCTGGTCGGGCCCAGGGCTGTTGGTTGTAGCCACTTGGTCCAAGGACATGGGCGGACAAATTGTTTGGGGAAACGTGGTATCTCTTATTAGACCAACTACAGTTGGAAGCATTGTTCTGTGCAAGCTTTGGGGCACCTGCTTGTGCCCAGTTCACTCTCCCTTTCCGCACCCCTCACTGCCCCCCTGCCCCTGGAGACTCAATGGACCGGGGGTCTGGCCCTCCGGCGGGCACCCCCTTCTTCAGGTGAAGGCGGAGGCCCCACACGGGAGCGCCGCGGGGCACGGCGGGTTCGAACAGCCTCTTCCACAGCAGGAAACGGATAAGTGGCGTCACTATGGAAAGCCGCGCGCCCGGGCGTCACATGACAAGGCGGCAAGATGGCGGCCTTCCCCTGGTAAGCCCGGGGCGGGGGGCGCTCGGTGTGGAGACGGGGTTACTTCTTCCCCGGTTTCCCGTGGCCCTTCTCCGGCTCCGCGGCGGCCTGGCCACCTGGCGCCATGTCCCGCAGCCTCGGCCGCGAGGGCGGTTGAACGGCACGGAAACGTCCTGGCTGCCCCGAGCGGGAGAAGCCGGGCTCTGGGGCTCCGCCTGGCCCCGGCCCCGGCCCCAAGGGGCTTTGTGATCCGGTGGTTTTCTCCTGAGAAGATCAATAAAGCGTGCGCTGCCCCCCCAGCCCCTGTGGTCATGCCGTACAGAGACCCCTGAGCACAGTGGGAGCACGGACACGTTGTCTTCATTTCCCCCCTCAGCCTTGTTCCCTCCTAGGGCCTTCGGTCCCTCACAGCGGTGGGGGAGGCTGTCCAGGCTCCTCCTGAGGTGACTGAAGGAGCAGTGTGTAGACACCAAGCAAATGGAGACCTTTGCAAACGGAAGGTTTTGAAAAGAAGAGAAGAGGGAGAAGGTTTCAGGTGGCGGAGGCGAGGGGCTGGGGTGGCAGGTAGAGAGGTGGTGCAGCGTATGCCTTGCCTTGGTCGGTCTGTGGGGCAGTGGTGGGCTTGACTCCTAGTAACTCCCTGAGATCTCATGGTGGCCGGAGGGAGCCGTAGAAAGACGCGTTGAAGGCGTACCTCAAGAAAAGGGATGCAGACATCAAGAGCTGGCTGCTACCGACTCCAATCGCAGCCTCGACCAAGTGGCAGCCCATTTTGGGGTGAAGCGTCTTGCCCTCGAAGCAGAGAAGAGCGAGCAGAGGAAGGGAAAGGAGAGGAATCCCAGCCTGCAGCCTACTCTCCCCTGTGGAAGGACCCGCAGCTGGTGTGGATGGATCGGCGGCTCAAGGATTGGAGTCTCAAGTCATCTCCAGACCCATGAATGGGTAGAGATCATCCCCGAGTCAAGACATTACTGACAGGTTGTTGGCTTTACATGCAGTCTGAAAGGTTTCCACCTCCCCCGCAGTCTGGGCATAGGAAGCATTCTTTATACCGTTATTCTGCAGGCCATTCTGTGTGCTTTTATATGTCACAGCTCGTGAAAGCTTGCATAAGTGCCCAACTTGCTACACAAGCGGACTCCAAGTGTCCAAGGGACTATACACCTGTGAGTCTTTGCAGTATTGAGTCCTAAAGCTGAACATTGGTAGAATAGATCCTGATGGCTGCAAAGTGTGTTTGGAAATGCAAGTTAGAAGAAAAGTTAATTCACATGAGCATTAAAAAGACTTCCTGTGGTCAGTTTTTCTTATGAGCTGTCTTTAAGGAAAGTACAAATAGTGTTTCAGTGGTCTAGACTTGGATCCAATTTCTATGTTTAGGAATTTGCTATACACTATTTTTTTTAGAGAGAGAGAGAGAGAAGGATGACAGAAACAAGGAATTTCACTCCTGTTTTTGTCCGGTGGATGGCACTGTTGGTTCACATCAAGTTGCAAATTCTGCTTCTGTAGCAATAAGATGTTTTATAGCTCAGGGAAACTGCTGAAGATATAGGTTGCACAGTACAGTATTTATTATAGTAAAGGAAATGATTATTTTATCTTTTGATCGGGTAAAGGAAGATATGTGCACTGACTGCTTCTGTCCTTTCAAAAAATTACGTTTGCTCACAAAAAATGAACTTCCTGGTTTTGAAATATTTGCTCACAGTGTGTATTCCCTTAAATGGTAAATCATTTTTATTTAATTTCAGATTGAAACAGCCTTTTTTAATGAAGGAGTAAAAAAAACTACTCAATTCTGCAGTTCATACAGCTATTATAAAATTACAGAGAATTTTTTTTTAAATAGTCATGGTTGACTGAATTACACCAAGCTTCAGTCTGAAATTATAGTGCTTATCCAGATACCTTTAAACAGTGTTAATTACTTTTAAAATGCATTTTTATAAATATTATGAGCAGGGAAAGAATATCAGGCATTTAGCTTCAGTTTAGAAATACCCATTAGTGCCTTTTATGATACGTTCTTGAAGCTCTTTTTGTTCGTACTGATAGAATACTCATTTAGTTAGAATTTTGTTAGCATTTAATTATAGACCTTTATTGGGATACTTTAAAAGCTAAGCCATAAAATAAGTCTTGGATCTTGGCAGAAGAATACCTAATTTTGTGGAAACAGCTGCAAAGCAAGCTATTTTAAAGTAACAGTCAGATTAAAAAAAAATGATACAGACCTAATGGATTGCAAATGTTAAAAGTAACACAGTTTTTGTTTAAAAGCTACAAATTTAAGAAATCAATACGATTCTTTTAATTTTTTGATTACATTCTTGGTTTAGGTGAGAGTTGTCAGATTAACCAATTTCACTTTCGGGTTTTTGTGACATTCTTGGTTTAGGTGAGAGTTGTCAGATTAACCAATTTCACTTTCGGGTTTTTGTGTGCTGGCATAACAGTGCAAGGAAGGTTAATTTTAGTTAAAAAAAAATATTTTCAGTAGATTTTGAAAAGAGGATACATCTGTCAGCTAAACTTAAGGTCAACTTTGACCTGGAAATGACCGTCCTAAAATGGAATGTGTTTCTTTTAGGGGTTGAGCTGCAGTGCTCCAGTACTTTTTCTCTTATCCTTTTTTCCTACCCACTGTATGGGGTAAAATCTCTTGCAGATAGATGCACAGATAGAAAAGATGATTCTTGTATTTTATTATGACTGTAGGTGCATCATGCATAGAGGAATGCATTACTACCTAGGAATATTGTGACTATGTTGCCTGCTAATAAATGAAATAGATGAGGGTCATTTTTAAATTCTGTCATTTTTACTTGGTGGTCACAATCTGCTCATTCTGCGAAGTGGTTTGCTTTCTGATTTCTAGTTGGGATCATTTAAACAAGAACACTAACCCAAACTATATAGCCCAGTAGTTATTGTGAAAATGGGCAATCAGAAGATACAAGTGCTTGTTGAATGTGGCTAAATGTGCCTTGTCCAGGAATGAGGAACTGACTGGCATGTGGTATAGATCAATAATGTATAATACTTAAACTGGGGGATTTAGAGAAACAGAAATCTCTGGCTTCCTATGACAGACAAGACAAGATAATGATATTGCTTGAGGAAAATACATAGTGTAAGAGAGAGATATTATGGCTGGTATATAAAGCACTGTAGTGTTTAGTTAAGTACAACCGTTGTTAAAATAGTCAGTTAGAAGTAAAATTCAAATCAGCTGTATGCTGAACTGGATTTCAGACCATAATTAAAAATAAATGGAGACCATCTTCATTGGTCTAAAAGGAACTTGTATTACAATTAAAATTCAGATTATGAAAGTGATTAATTAAAAAAAAATACGGACTGAAAATAGAGTCCAGTGTCATAATTTGCCTCATCTGAGAAATACCATATTTTAATATAACTATAAAAACCCAGCAAATTCTAAGTTAAGGCTGGGATTCTTTACCTCTCTTTTCATAGTGGTTTTCTCCAGTATGTGTTGTGTAAATATAATTATCTGTTGCTTTCAATGTACAAACAGTCTTTAGTGCGCTCATTTCTAACTTGTCCATTATTATTTTCTGAGTATTTACTTAAATCTGTTCTATTAGAGGGACCCCCTTCCTCTTAATTGTTTTTCCTTGTTTCTTCTTGCATAGACAGACAGCAAGCAGTGGAAGAGGTCCTGCCTATCCTAGAATAATATTAAAGTGTGGTGACATATCATGTAATGTGTCCTGAAGACACTGCCTTAGTTTGATGCCTGGGGAAGATGGCTTTGTTGCTATGGGCTTCTCTACCTCAGTAGTGTAACTAAGGGTGGGGGGGGGAAGGTTTGTGCCTCCTTCCCCGCCCCCCCCAGCAACCATTGTAGCTGAGGCTGCCTGCAGCTGCAGTTGCCCTGTTATAACTCTGATCTACCTATTTTCTTCTTCAGTGTATAAAAACAAAAAATTATTGCAAAACATCTTCAACTGTTCCCTAATATTAATTACCTTTATAAGTTGTTATGTTTACTTGCACAAAAAAGTTGTATTTTTGAAAAATGCATGCAGGCTCAAATAGATTCCTTCGGCATAGGTTCACTTGTGGTTTAGTGAAACTGGCATGCCTTCAGCTGTCAGAGATGTCTTTTTTCACTGGTAGTTTAAAAAACCCTGTAAATGAGATGGAATGGAAATGCTGACAAACCTGTAACTATAACTGGGAAATAGAAATGTTATAATTAGGAGCCAATAAAGAGTTTGGGTGAAAGTTTTTCATACAAATGCTAATTAACCTATGAGGCAAGTGAACAAGGAGAATCATTGAAGCATGGAACAATAGTAAATTCAAGAGAATATTCATGCTAGAGAAGGCACAAAACCAGAGATTAAGAAAACAAAAAGAGCAGGCATGTGGGCTTCACTGCAGTCTTTCTTTTTCTGCTTGTATCTCATTAGGCTTCAAGGCTTCTTCAATGAGCAATACAGCTATAACATGCTATTCTAATTTCTTTTTGCAGAATTGCAATAGCAAGAGTGCCACAAGGGTCTATCAGATAAATAACAAGTAGACTGATTCCCCCCCCGAAAGGATTACTGCCAAGGGCAGAGAATATAGGGGATTTTGAGTTTTTTTCCTTGTGCTCGGATTTTATTTTTTAAAGATTTTTTTAATCCCCTGTTGCTTTCCCATCTATAGATTCAGGTCCTGTCTAGGGTTAGAACATTTTGACTGAAGAACAATTGCAGTGGAGGCATCATAAGAATCAAGAAAATTAAAGTTGAGAGGAGATGGGATTTTTAGTTGCTGTTGCAAACTCTTTGGGCAGGATCTTCAAACATACCCTGTTCTCTTTTAGGTACATTGTTCTCAACAGAAGTTGCTGAGTGCTTAGCTTTCCTAAATAGGAGTTGAACCTTTTTCAAAAATCTGACATGCTGTAGTTTTACTTTAATGACTCGTATTCTGGATAAAGGAAGCCTTTATTCTGTACTTTTGTTCCTTCCATTAAGACTCTGGAGGTCTTAAAGCACCTTCCTGAGAAGTTCTTCTGCAATAAAATAGGGAAGCTCACTGAGGCATTTCTGATGTTTCTGTTTTTAATCTTGGAAATACCTTCAAGGCATGATTGGGGGAAGGAGAAAGAAAACTCTCTATTTTCACACATTGTACTGGTAGATGCCTTGATCCATTCCTAGATAACCAATCCCATTGTTGTCACTGCTGGTGGAATTGACTCTGTAGTTTGGCCAGAATGCCTAGTAGAGGGATCCTCTCAGGTTGTAGCTCAACTACAATCCAGAGGCTCAACTGCATCTCACACAGGGACACTCAAGCTAGTTTAAGCTAGTATTTGCCCAGGGTCTTTGGGGAATTTTGAAGTCTGCACTGATCCTCATGCAGTCAATGGCTATGTGGTTATAAGTACCTGAGTACAACTTGGTTGGTACAGCTTGTAGCTAGACATCTGGATTGTATTGCAGATGCACTATAAAGTTCATGGTGCTTCTGTGAGATGGGTAAAAGAGTTATGGAAGCTGACTGGCTGCAGAGACCTAGAGCTAGACACAAATCAAGAAACTTTACTTTCAGTTCGGTGCTTAATGACTAGACCACATTTTCTTCAGCAAAAGGGTTTTCGTTTGATGTGTTGCATTGTTTGCAGGTACATGTTGAGTTTTATAAATATGGATCTTAAATCTGATTTGTAGATCTTTACAGAGCTAGTTATAGAAACTGCAGTTCTCCTCTGTTTTAATAGTACTCCTAAAGGAGCAGTTTATTCTTCACTACAACTAGAAATATCACAGGAAATCAGGTTTAATAATTAGGTGTTAGATTGAGAGAAACACCTTTTGTTAAAATGACTGATAAAGTGAGTGACTACTGCTGCTAAATCTTTAAGGCAAAAGCATTTTGTTTTGAGGGCTTTATCCATGTTGTTTTGAGACCAAACCTTTTTTAGTTATGGAGGGAAGTCACTGTCCTGACACTAGATTGTCAATTATAAATAAAAACTATAAAAAAGAAAACTTGTCATAATGTATTTGAAATTTTTAATTTCAATAAGAGGAAGGCTTTAATACAGTGACGTTTCTTATGCTTGCATTGCTGATTATTTGCTGATGATTTTCTTTCCTCTCTTATTAGCAGGCCACTGTGACATTATCTATACCCATACACATATTTGGGTACATATATACATACTTATGAGAATGTAAATAAACATGTATAAACTTCCTTTATTCTCTTTGTATTAAGGCATGCAAGAATTAGGAATTATGCAACAGAGTTTGAATCATGCAGACTGGAAGCTGTTTCCCTGGAATTTGGGGACTATCATCCACTAAAACCTATTACAGTAAGTTTCCTCTTGTGTCTTTCATAAAAATGTCCCTGGAAAGTAAAAACAACTGTCCTGGCAACTGCTGGCCTTGAAACAAACTGAGTTGCTGCTGAATTTGGTGGAAGACACTGTTGTTTGCAACTGGTTGTAATGCCAATGAAGTATGATAGGAATATTCCAGTAGTTTGTAGCCCCTCTGTGTTTGAATTACCATGGTTTGATTTTGCTATTCATACAGATCATAAGTTTGTTTGCTTGCATTAGATGACTCTGTTATTTGCCAAAAACGTCTCTGTAACAATGGTAGATAGTTTTTCTTAGAACAAATTCTGTCCTGCAGAGCTTAGAGATACCAAATATTTTGATAACATCTAAAAGATAAGATTTGGACCAAATCATGTTATCAATGAATAATTGCTGGATGCACAACTTTTTGTTTGTTTCTTAGGTCATTTCCAAACCAGCTGTATGTATTTTAAAAACACTTTGTAGACTTTTAGGGATGTACCTGGGGCTCTGTGAAACTCCCAAAAGATAAACTAACCTCTTTAGAACAGAGACCTTAACTCATAATGAATATGATAGATGGACAGCAGCTCTTGTTTGAGAAGCTGAGTAGCAAGATATTCGCAGAAGATCTGCTTAAAAGGAGGAGTTTTGAAGGTTGGATTTGAAAGGAAAGGACAGCTGATGCACAAAAAGTTTGAGGGTGTACCAATCCTAAGGAGTATACTGGAAGAATGGGCAGAGCTGTGTGTAGGAGAATTTGGAGAACAGGCTGGAAAGAAAAGTGCGAAAAGAAGAATAATTAGTTGGTGGGAGAACAGTAGAAGGGAAAGAAGTAAGATTATATTGACTGTTCTATAGTCCATGAGTTTGCAAAAATCAGTCATTGAAATGTTTTCAGAGTGTCTCTTGCCGCAGAGAGAAAAAGGTTTTATGATATGTATGTGTGTGGCATGTCTAGTGTACACTTTCTTGCTTCTAGGAAAGCTGCTGTTTGGATAATCCTTGTTCTTATTATTAGAGGATATGAATATACAGTCTGAGGGGGGAAAAAAACTTTTATAATTGATCTTCCTCAGGTTACTGAATCCAAGACCAAGAAAATGAGTCGGAAAGGAAGCACTTCCTCTACCTCCTCCTCGTCTTCCAGTTCAGTGATGGATCCACTGAGCAGTGTGCTGGATGGAACTGATCCCTTGTCATTATTTGCAGCAACAGCAGATCCAGTGACAGCTGCAGCTAACATGGTAATATGGGAGCGTGGTTACCTTAACTAAACTAACAAAGACGAAAGTAGAACTACGCTTTTTGTGCCAGAACTTACAAGAGTTATTTTAGTTTATAATTTACCATATTAACTTATTGGAATACTTCTGTTTACTTGCTTTCTTTTTCAATAACTTGGGTAATATGTAGGATGATGGAGTGACACATTAAAAACTAGTTGGTTCAGTGTCATGAACTTTCATAGGCGACAGTCTACTTTGTCAGATATTATCTGTGAAAGCTCATGTCTCTCTGAATCATTTAGTCCCCGAGCTGACACCCTGTTTTACATTTTGGCTGATTTGAGACTGACATGGCTAATGGCCTCTATGCTCTTTGGTAATATTGATCTCTTGTATTATAAACTGATGGAAGGTTTAGTGACAGCACAAAATATGATAGGTCTTAAAAAGTTTTAGTTTACTTAGCCTTCCTTTTACATATAAATTGGAAAATAACATTGTTTATACTCCTCCCTTCTTCCAAGGATAGTACACGAAAGAAACGAGATAAAGAGGACCATTTGGCTGTAGGCAGTGACTTTGAACCATGGTCAAGCAAGCGTGGTGAAATCCTTGCTAGATACACAACAACTGAAAAACTCTCCATTGTAAGTGAACTTTTATTGCTTCTTGTATAAAATCTTCATAGACGGTGGGTACTGTTTGATTACTGTAGAAGACTACTTTGTGACTAGTTATTGAAGAAACGTATGTCCTTTAATTTTCACTACTCATGTAGTGGCAAAAGATACCATCAGCAGTTCTTTCAAATATTCAGGGTAGAGTTTTAGCTGCTCTCTATACTGTGTTGTACTTCAGTTTTAGGCCGAACCCAAAAGTGTGTTAATCACTTACCTGAAAAAAACCTAGAGATGTAGTGGCTTTGAAGAACTTAGCAGTCATATTTTAATCTGTAAATTAGTAGAAATATAAAGGGCAGTGTTGAAATGAGCCTGTGTTCTTGGAATATTTACAAATAAGTTAATAGTTTGTAAATACATGCCTTTTAAAATGCTGTTGTTTCTCTGCAGAATCTTTATATGGGGTCTGAAAAAGGTGAGTAGTTACTCTATCAAATGGTATGGGAAATGGAACTTTTTAAAGGAGAAAATGCATGGCAAAGTATGGTGTAGACTTGCATTCAAATTAAAATTTTCCCTAGTTGTGAACTATGTATGCATCTACATTGTCTAATGGGGCTAAAGCCAGATTTATTGCATATTTGTTGGCTGACTGGCATGTGATTATGTGCTGTTGGGGGAAAAAAATCTAGGGATCTTGTACTTTATTTTGTGGCTTAAATATCTGGACAGTTTCTCCCATTCCAAAGCCCCCAAATTGCACGATAACTTGGTGTTAAGCTTGTCTCTATTTTTCCTGCTTGTCTGGAGGGAATGAGAGAGAAGTCTTTTGCATAGCTGATCAATCATTCTTTCTGCCTGAACACAAATCATTGAATTGGGTCTTGTATACCACTAGTCCAGGGGTCGGCAACCTATGGTATATGTGGCAAAGGTGGCACGCGGCATGCTTTTGATTGGCATGCAGACTGCTCCTGCCCTGAGGGGCGGGAAGTGCTGTGCCCAGATGGAGCAGCACATGGCTGCCTGGGAGCAGCCTTGTACTGCCACTGACACCAGCCAGGTAAGAGCCCCTTGGGCCCCAGACCCAGTCTGGCACCACCACCGGCTCCTGCCAAGTGCTGCCCCCTTGCTGAGGGCTGTCAGTGCCCCGATGGCCCTGGCCCCAAGACCTTGCTGCCAGCAGGCCCTGGCCCTGTCTGAGCCTGGCCCCAACTGGCATTACCACAGCTGCCGGCCCCAGCCCAGTGCCACTGCCGGGCCAGGGCCTGCGCAGGCCCCGGCCACATGGTGCCACTGGCAGCACGTGGCCAGGGCCGTCGGCAAAGCCGGGATGGGGCTGGGTCCGGAACGGACCCTGGGCACATCCTGACGCTGCTGACAGCCCTGGCCCAGCAGCGGCACTGTGCTGGGGCCAGCAGCGGTGGTGGTGCTGAGGGCTGGGCCCGCTGGCAGCTGGCACCATCACCGTGACTGGGACCTGGCCCAGCATGGCTCCAGATGGCTGCCAGGGTGGTCGGCAGCGCCAGGATGGGGCTGGGACCTGAGCAGGTCCACGGCCCTGGCTCCATCCCAGCGCTGGCAGTGAGCCCCTCCATGGCTGGGACCACCACTGCCACCTGCCCCAGCCTAGTGTTGCTGCTGGGCCGGACATCGACAGTGGTGCTGGCTGGGGTCATTGGCAGTGCTGGGATGGGGCCAAGCCCTGTGCGGGCCCTGGCCCTGGTCCCATCCCGGCACTGCTGACGGCCCTGACAGTGGCGGTGGTGAGGGCTGGGGCCAGGCCCGCCGGC